TTACTATGAACCAAAGCATAAAGACACAGACACAATATGAAGTTAAAGAGATTGACGCAGGTTAGCTTGATCTGTTGGGTATGGTGTTCCTGGGTAGATTTCTAAAGATGGAAAAAAATGAGTTTGGTTATCAAGACTACTGTGGCCACGTTAGATACTGAACCATAAGCACCAGTGGGCAGTAGGAAGCTTTAGCAAGAATTTTGGAATATTTACTGGGACTTGTCATGTGAACCAATACACGTTTTTGTCCTCGTAGTAGTCGATTCAGCGGAGGATTTGGTGCCAGAGACTATCGGCAGAGTAGCGGTGCCAGCAGTTCCAGCTTCAGCAGCAGCCGTGCGAGCAGCAGCCGCAGTGGGGGAGGCGGCCATGGCGGCAGCAGAGGGTTTGGTGGAGGTAATATTACTTTTTTCTAAATATATATTTTTATTGATTTCAGGGAGAGGGAGAGACAGAAACACCAACGATGAGAGAGTGAGAGTCATTGATCGGCTGCCTCCTGCACACCCCACACTGGGGAATGAGCCTGCAACCCGGCATGTGCCCTGACCTCCTGTTTTATAGGTTTGATGCTCGACCACTGAGCCACACTGGCTGGGTGGGAAAGATTATATTTAATAGCGGATGACTTGACTAATCTCTCTTCTTTTCAAATCTCTCATTAGGTGGCTATGGAGGCTTTTACAACAGCGATGGCTACGGAGGAAATTACAACTCCCAAGGGGTTGACTGGTGGGGTAACTGAACCTACTTTGCAGTAGGTCACCCTGCCAAACAAGCTAATATGGAAACCACATGTAACTTAGCCAGACTATACCTTGTGTAGCTTCAAGAACTTGCAGTACATTACCAGCTGTGATTCTCCACTGAAATTTTTTTTTTAAAGGGAGCTCAAGGTCACACGAAGAGATGAACAATCAGCAGCCCTGTTCGGAAGGTGGTTTGAAGACTTCATTGCTGTAGTTTGGATTAACTCCCCTCCCACCAACCCCCATCCCAAACTGCATTTATAATTTGTGACTGAGGATCATTTGTTTGTTAATGTACTGTGCCTTTAACTTTAGACAACTTTTTATTTTGATGTCCTGTTGGCTCAGTAATGCTCAAGATATCAATTGTTTTGACAAAATAAATTTACTGAACTTGGGCTAAAATCAAACCTTGGCACACAGGTGTGATACAACTTAACAGGAATCATCGATTCATCCATAAATATTATAAGGAAAAAAACTTATGCGGTAACCTGCATTAGGGCTCTTTGATACTTGCAGATTGGGGGAAACAAACAACAAACGTCTTGAAGCATATTAACGGAATTAGTTTCTAATGTGGCAAACTGTATTAAGTTAAAGTTCTGATTTGCTCACTCTATCCTGGATAGGTATTTAGAACCTGATAGTCTTTAAACAAGCCATTCCAGTCATGAGGAGGTGATGTATGAACACATGCATACATTCGAAGCACTGTTTCAAAGTTAATGCAAGTAAACACAGCAATTCCTCGTTCAATGTTTAGGCAGATCATTAAGGATGAGCTGGCCAAATGTGGGCATACTATTACAGGGAAAGTTTAAAGGTCTGATAACATGAAATAAATAGGTTTTTAGGAGAATTCATCTACTTGACATTTTAAATGCCTGCCATAAATGAAATTGAAATGGTAGAATGGCTGACCACAGCAATGACCAGCCCGCATTAGGGCCCTGGATGATTTTTGGTCTAATAACGCATGCTAGTGTTGATGTTTTTTGGTCAAGAGGGTATGAACAGGAAGAATTAATGCAGCAGGCTTTCTTTTAAATGCCGATTCACATTACTCTGTTCAAGCTGCGTTGAGATGTTAAACTGGCTTACTATAGACTTTGTAAAAATGGCTCCAGAAGAGGAACTGAAATCTGAGATCACACAGGTTGGAAATATGTACATAACTGCACAAGGTGTCAATTCTGCTCTCCAGTGCAGTTTTAGTCAGTTTTAGTTGCATAGGTTTCCATTGTATTTATAGTCTGTTTATGCTAAATCTGGCCAAAGATGAGCATTGTCCACCACTAAAATGCCTCCGCCACTTTGAATTCTGCGCTAATTTTGTGGCCAGAATGCGGTGATCAAAACGCTCAATCTTTCTACAGTGGCATAGGGAGACGGCAAAAATTTCCTAAAGTGCAATAGATTTTCAAGTGTATTGTGCCTTGTTCTAAAACTTTTATTAAGTAGGTGCACTTGACAGTATTGAGGTCATTTGTTATGGTGCTATTTCAATTAGTCTAGGTTTAGGCCCTTGTACATTTTGCCCATAACTTTTTACAAAATACTTCTTTTATTGCACATTCAGAGAATTTTATATATATGTCTTGTGTGCGTGTCCTTAAACTTCCAATCTTATTTTGTCTCTTGGAGATGGTTGAACGCAGCTTGTCTAGGAAGGGGATGGGACTAGATTCTAAAATTTATTTGGGACCATGGGAGTGATGGTTGGGAAGAAGAACTATTTGCACACGACAGATTTCTAATACTTTTTGCTGCTAGTTTTATGTAATATTTATTGAACATTTTGACAAATATTTATTTTTGTAAGCCTAAAAGTGATTCTTTGAAAGTTTAAAGAAACTTGACCAAAAGACAGTACAAAAACACTGGCACTTGAATGTTGAATGTCACCGTATGCGTGAAATTATATATTTCGGGGTAGTGTGAGCTTTTAATGTTAAGTCATATTAAACTCTTAAGTCAAATTAAGCAGACCCGGCATTGGCAGTGTAGCCATAACTTTCTGATGTTAGTGAAAAAATTGGCGACTTGAAATTAAAACATGCCAAGGTTTTGATACACTTGTCTTAAGATATTAATGAAACACTTCAGAACACTGATACGAAGTGTCCAGATTCTCAGATGTTTGTTGCGTGAGTTTTGTTTAGTTGTGTGTATTTTTTTTCCCAGTGAATGTCTGGCACATTGCAATCCTCAAACATGTGGTTATCTTTGTTGTATTGGCATAATCAGTGACTTGTGCATTCAGCAATAGCAAGTTCTACCAGTAAGCAATATTTTCAGTTATAAGGTTTCAAAAATGTAAGAATGGATTTAAACTTGCTGAATGTAAGGATTGAACCTCAAGTCACTGTAGCTTTAGTAATTGCTTATTGTATTAGTTTAGATGCTAGCACTGCATGTGCTGTGCATATTCTGATTTTATTAAAATAAAAAGCTGAACTGCACAGTCTCTTTCGTTGTTGTCAATTGTGGTTTATTATTAGCAGTGACAATAAAGTTGTGCTCTTGCCTGAACTGTAAGGTGTTATATTTTTTTTGGTTGCTGTCCCGCTAGTTTTGAGATTCCTCTTGCAGACAGGAATAATCCCTTTGGTGAAGTATTTGTAATACAGTGGAAAAGGTTTCTGTAATAGGTGGAAATCTAAAAGGTGTTCAGCATGTATTCTAGATCGGTTTATATTTTAATCAGCTTCAATATGGTTTGAACCTGTTATTTGAAGGGTGGTTGAAGTGGAAGAATGAATTCAAAATCAAACAGTAATCAAACATGGTTAAGGACTGGGGGGTCCAAGAATATATTTGGGCTCCGACCCTTACACCAAGAGGTCACTGGTTCGATTCCCCATCAGGGCACCTGCCCAGGTTGCAGGTTTGATCCCCATTGGGGCACTTCCCAGAGGCAACCAATGTTTCTCCCTGTCCCTCTCTCAAATCAGAAACATTTAAAAAAATGTATTCGGGGTGAGGGTGATAGGCATGGCACGGGCACCTCCATTCCACCTGTAGTTTTTGCTGACGTCTATTATCACACATTGAGGTAGGCAGCTTGCTACCAATTAACCAATGATGGTGGAACCATAACTGAACAGATAATTCCTCTATAAGTTGAACTATGTGAGACAAGGCCATGTCTTTGGGCGGCAAAAGTTGACAATATGGTTCAACCTAATGAATGCACATTGGCCTTCATTCCGCGTTGAGTTCTAGATTTTGCAGTGTGATTAAGAACATTTTTTAAAACACTTGCTTCTGGATAGTTGCCTTTTATGGAAGAATTAGAAGCGTAAGGTGCCATTGGTATTGGAGATAGGAAAGGGAGGTAGTTTGGTCAAAATAAGTGGAAAGAAAATGGCCACATTGAGAAGATTGGCAGTGGTTGAAGGTGATTCAAATTGAGGGAAACAATTCTAAGGACGGTTCAAGGTCCCTTTTATCTGTTCTGGGGGAACTGCCTAAACTATTCTATAGTTTAAATAGTAAATAACGTATCTAAATATTTACTGGGTTTTACTTCCTCACCGCTCACCAGATAATTTTTTTCAAAAATGTCTTGGAGCATGTTTGAAATTGCCCAATGTCTTTGTGCTTAATACATTTTTTTTTTTTTTGCTCTTAAGTGACCTGGTTGGTCACGGGCCTCCCCTTTGTAGCTCAGTGACGTATCTGTGGACAGTGGTCTGTCCCTCCTCCACACCCCAATGCAGAGATTTCATTCACTGCAGTTACAGGACTTTGAAAAGTTAGCTTTCTCTTCTGTTCTTATTGAACAGGTATCCTGTACTCTGCCTTAGTTTTTGTTTACCCTGTTCCTTCTAATTAGGACTGGAGCTAAATTAACGTTCTGAGTGATTTTATATGTTGTACTCAGAATTTATGTTTACAGTAACTAGCATTGTGGAGAAAATAATTGCTCTAATAGGTGGAGGAAAGAGTAGGTTACAATTGGAGTACAAAGAATGGTCTCAACTACTTTGAAAATACATAGAAGAATAGGAGGAATTTGCCCGGCCGGTTGATAAGTGGTTGAGCATTGACCTATGAACCAGGAGGTCAGGGTTTGATTCCAGTCAAGGGCACATGCCCGGGTTGCCGGCTCGATCCCCAGTGTGGGGTGTGCAGGAGGCAGCTGATCCATGATTCTCATTGATGTTTCTCTCCTCCCTCTCCCTTCCTCTTTGAAACCAATAAAAACATTTAAAAACAAAAGATGGCCAAGCAAACCCAGAAGAAGAAGAAAAAAAAAAAGTAGGAGAAACTCTGCTAAAATAGTGACAGTTCCTGTTTCTGGTTGAAATTTTAAAAAGACTTTCTGCTTCAAACTTGTACTGAACAGATTTTATATGATTAGAATATATTTTCTAATAGAAAATGTTTTTCTCTTTTTTAGTTGTTGAAATAGTACAGAGGGGTCCTGTACCCTTCGCCCAGTTTCCCCCAATGGGAACATTGGCACAACTAATGCAACATCAAAGCAGGAAGTGGACTTTGGTACAACCACGGATCTTATTCAGGTTTCTCTCGTTTTCCGTGTGTGTGTGTGTGTGTGTGTGTGTGTGTGTGTGTGTGTGTGTGTGGTGTGTGTGTGTGTGTGTGTGTGTGTAGTTCTGCGTAGTTTTATCACATGTTGATCTGTGTAACCACCTCCACCAAACTGTTCCAGCAGCAGCAGCAGCAGCAGCAAGATCTCCCGAGGGCTGCCTCTGTGGTCACACCCGCCCCTTCCTGCCTCCTCACCCAGTCACTCACCCCTGGCAACCACTCACTGGGTTTCCATCTCTAAAATGGCATTTCAGAATTGCTAACAAAATGGAGTGCAGTATGCGACCGTTTGAGACTGGCTGTTTGTCATTCAGCACAATGACCTTGAGAGCCATTCAAGTGGTTGCAGTTCCGTCTTATTGCTGAGTAGTATGCATGGGCCATAGTTTGTCCATTCAGCCACCGAAGGACGTTTGGCTTGTTTCCAGTTGTTTTTTTTAATCCTCACCCGAGGACATTTTCCCATTGATTTTTAGGGAGAGTGGAAAAGAGAGAGAAAGACAGAGAGAAATAACGATGTGAGAGAAACACATCTATGGGTTGCCTCCTGCACATGCCCCAACCAGGGACCGGATCGGGGAGGAGCCCGCAACCAAGGTACGTGCCCTTGACCAGAATCGAACCCGGGACTCGAGTCCACAGGCCGATGCTCTATCCACTGAGCCACACCGGCCAGGGCTGTTTCCAGTTTTTGACTATTACACATTAAAGCTGCTCTGAACATTCGTGTGCAGGTTTTGTGTAGACATAAGTGTCCATCTTTCTGGCATAAATGCCAGGAGTGCAACTGCTGGGTCCTATGGGAAGTGCATGTTTAGTGTGAGAACCTGCCAGTACTGTCATGGCCGCGTAGTTCAGCAGATCGTCTCCTGTGAGAGGAACCATTAGTCTGATGTGTCTGAAGACAGAATCTGCCAAATCCTTTTCCAGAGGGACTAGAATTTTAAAAAAATATATTTTTATTGATTTCAGAGAGGAAGGGAAAGGGAGAAAGAGAAACATCAGTGATGAGAGAGTTATTCATTGGCTGCCTCCTTGCATGCCCCACACTGGAAATTGAGTCCACAACCTGGGCATGTGCCCTGACCGGGAATTGAATTGTGACTTCCTGGTTCATAGGTTGGTGCTCAACCACTGAGCCACACCAGCCAGGCTGTGTTGTTGGAATTTATTTTGGCCTAATTGATGGGAAGTGATAGCTCATTGTGGTCTTAATTTGCATTTCACTAATGACTAGTGATGTTAATCATCTTTTCTTGTGCTTATTTGCTATCCTTATATATTTGGCAGAATATATGTTCCTGTATTGCCCATTTTAAAATTAATTGATTGCTTTTTACTGCGGAGTTCTTTATATATTCTAGGTACAAGTCTTGTCAGATATATGGTTTGCAAATATTTTGTCCCAGTCTATAGCTTGTCTTTTCATCTTAACAGTCTTTTGCAGAGCAAACAATTTTTTTGATAAACATTTCTAATTTTGATGCAGCCCAATTTATGAACATTTCCTTTTATGGGATGTGCTTGTGGTGTCATGCTTAAGGACCCTTCACCCTGCCCTACATCCTAAAGATGTTTTTCCTATTTTTTCTAATAATTTTGCATTTAAATCTACAGTCCATTTGAGTCCATTTTTAAGGTGTGAGATTTAGGTGTAAGTTCACTTTTTAATCTGTGGCCAATTGTTCTAGTCTTTTGTTGAAAAGACTATTCTTTCTCCATTGACTTGTTTTTGCAACTGTGTCAAAAATGAGTTCACAACCTGGCCGGGTAGTTCAGTTGGTTAGAGTATTGTCCTGACACGCCAAGGTTACCAGTGCCATCCCAGGCACATACAAGACAAACCAATCCCTGGTCAGGGCACATACAAGAATCAACCAGTGAATGCATAAATAAGTGGAAAAACAAAATCAATGTTTCTCTCTCTCTCTTTTTGCCTTTCCTTCTCTCTAAAATCAATCAGTAATTTTTTAAAAAAAATCAGTTGACTATCCTTGTATGGGTATTTTTGGGTTCTTTTCTGTTTTATTGATCTACTAGAGGCCTAGCGCACAATTAAATCATGTGCGTGTAGGGTCCCCTAGGCCTAGCCTGCCATCAGGGCTATGTCCGCCGCCCCGCGATGCCTTTTATGGTATAGATGTGCCAATAGCACACTGCCTGCTTCAGTTATTTCCAGCCATATAGTAAGTTTTAAAATTGGATAGAGTGATTCCTCTCAATTCATTATTTTTCAAAAATGGTTTTAGCTATTCTAGTTTCCTTCTCTTTTCATATAAATTTTAGAATAAGCCACAAAAAATCTCGTGGGATTTTGATGGTAATTGTGCTGAACCTGTAGGTCAGTTTGGGGGAGAACTGACATCCCCACTATGTTGAGTCTAAAGCGTATTTTTAAGTTGTAAACTCAGACTATCCAGCAGCAGGGATACCTGGCACTTCCCACAGGGAGCACTCCTGTTTATCCGTCCTAGGATCATGCTCCTCCTCCGGGAAAGGCCGCATTTTGTGAAGGAAGTTCACTCAGGAACATATTAAGGAGTCCAGCCCTAGCTGGTGTTGCTCAGTGGATAGAGCGCCTGCCTACCGACCAAAGGGTCCCGGGTTCAATTCCGGTCAAGGGCACATACCTTGGTTGCAGGCTCCTCCCCGGTCCGGGCCCTGGTCAGGACGCGTGCAGGAGGCAACCCATGGATGTGTTTCTCTCACATCGATGTTTCTCTCTGTCTCCCCCTCTCCCTTCCACTCTCCCTAAAAATCAATGGAGAAATATCCTCGGGTGAGGATTAACAAACAAAACAAAAGGAGTTCAGCTGCTGGCGATGGCAGCCGAGGTATTTCAGGCCAACCCTCCTGCTGAAGACAACTATGAAAACGCACAAGTAGCATGAATCTGCGGGCGTTCCGGGTCTGAGCCTGTGAACAGCTGGACGGGCTCCCGTGAGCGACAGAGGCAGAGGTTCCCCAATGAGTCAGATACATCAGTAGCCGCCTGAGCAGGAAATGCACTGCTCGGCTCACCCAAACTTAGGGGCACCTTACACTCTTCCAGTTTCTTCTTCCTGAAACTCCTCATTCGGAGAGTACTTGGCAGCCTGACTTGAATATTAATTCTCAGCATGCACTGGACTCAACTACCATACTGTCCCAGAATTTTAATAACACAATTTTCATGTCAATTTTCATCCAGGAGCCGTGTCCTTGGATTGCACTGCGGGGACTTCCTATAGAGCCTTCTCCTTCACAAGATGGCACGGGGCTGCCAGGGGTAATTTGCATTCCCATTGGTTTTGTGTTTTTTAAAAAATATTTTTATTGATTTCAGAGAGGAAGGAAGGGAGAGGGGGAGAGAGATAGAAACATCAATGATGAGAGAATCACGGATCGGCTGCCTCCTGCACGCCCCACAACCTGGGCCTGTGCCCTTGACCGGGAATCAAACCCTAACCTCCTGGTTCATAGGTCGACGCTCAACCAGTGAGCTACACCAGCCTATTTTGTGGGTTTTGAAGAGATCTACAGAATTAACAGTATTCCTTTTTTAAAAGTCAGTCCAGCCGAAACTGGTTTGGCTCAGTGGATAGAGCATCGGCCTGCAGACTGAAGGGTCCCAGGTTCGATTCCAGTCAAGGGCATGTACCTGGTGTTTCTGACTATCTCTCTCCCTTCCTCTCTGTAAAAAATCAATGAAATATATTTAAAAAAAAAAGTCAGTCCATACTGAGCTTTCTTTATATACATATATTTTTAAATTTATTGATTTTTATCCATTTCGAGTTTATCTTGGTGTGTGTGAATGGTTTATGGATACAGTATTTTTTTTTTTTCAATTTGACCCAACTGCCATCTATGGAAATACCTGTCTTTTCTGTACTGTTAGTTAGGGTAAGGTTAAAGTGTAGCAAAGAGGCTCTGAGATACAATGACTCAACTAAGAAAGAAATAATTTCTCTTACCTGCCATTTCAGAATTCGTGTTCCCAGGCCAGTGGGTGACTCTGTGGCCCTGCCATTCGGGATTGAGGCTCCTTCCCGTTCATTTCTCTACGTTGAAGGCAGCAGTTCTCAAAATGGTTCCTACCCCAGGGGGGTCAGCGTTGCCGGAGAACTTGCTAGAAATACAAATTCCTGGGTTCCACCCAGACCCGCTGACTCAGAAGCAGCAGAGAAGGGTGCAGTGATCTGTATTTTAACAAGCTCCCCAGGGATTCGCATGCGGTTGAGAACCGCTGATCAAATCAGCCTGTGTTGCAAGGGGGGAGGGTGCTCAGAGGAGGTGCGCCACTGTCTTCCTGTGTCAGTGCAGAAGTAGCACACATCACTTCACTCATACGCCATCTTGGTAAAATCTTGGTCACATGGCCGTGTCTAGCTGCAAGGGAGGCTGGGAAGTGTAACCTAGCTGGGCACGTTTCGTTATTATACGAGAAGGGGGGAATGTATTTGAGAGGATTACTAACAGTCTTCACAGCCAACAAGGATCAGATACAAAACTCCCATTGCGCAAAGGGGCTTCCTTCTGGAATTTCTCCTGTGTTCACTGGCCTTCTGGTTCATGGGCTAGAACCGCGTAGTTTTCATTATTGAGGCTTTGAACTATGTTTTAATATCTTTAATATATAGTTCTCCCCTCAGTGCTCTTTTTTTTTTAGTGCTCTTTTATTTAAAGTTTTATTTTTGCTCTTCTTGCTTGTTTATTTTTTAAAAACAACATTTACAATCATTTGTCTAGTTATAAACATTTTGGAGGGTTTTAAAAATATACTTTATTGATTTCAGAGGGGAAGGGAGAGGGAGAGAGAGAAACATCAATGATGAGAGAGAATCATGGACCGGCTGCCTCCTGCACACCCCCCACTGGGGATGGAGCCCACAACTCGGGCATGTGCCCTGATCGGGAATTGAACCATGACCTCCTGGTTCATAGGTCAAGGCTCAACTGCTCAGTCACGCCAACTGGGCATGTTTTTGTTTGTTTTTTAAAGATCTTGTGTACTTCATGTCAAGTTTATTCCAAGTTATTTCTGTTATTTGTTGCTATTACAAATGGAATATCTTCTTCCTTATATTGTCTAGGATGGGGCAAAATTAGGTTTACAGTTGTGAGTACTCGAAACAGTTTATTTTTGTATTATTATTATATTAGAGGCCTGGTGCACGAAATTCATGCATTGGGGGGGGTTCCCTCAGCCCGGCCTGCACCCTCTCTAATCTGGGACCCTTTGGGGGATGTCCAACTGCCGGTTTAGGCCCAATCCCGCAGTCGGACATCCCTCTCACAATCTGGGACTGCTGGCTCCTAACCGCTCACCTGCCTGCCGGTCTGATTGCCCCTAACCACTCTGCCTGCCGCCTGATCTCACCCCTAACTGCCCTCCCCTGCTGGCCTGATCACCCCTAACTTCCCTCCCCTGCTGGCCTGATTGCCTCTAACCGCCTCTCCCTCGGTCCCTGCCAACGTAGCTTTGTCCGGAAGGATGACCGGATGACCGGAAGATGTCCAGTCTATCTGGTCTAATTAGCATATTACCCTTTTATTAGTATAGATATTAATTATTTTATTTCCATAAAAACAACTGTAACCTGGCTTTTGTCCCACCCTGTATGTTAACTATTGATTTCTTTATGTTTTATTTTCTGCTACTTTACTGAATTCTCATATTGTTTTTGGTAGTTTCTCAGTTGAGTCTCTTGGCTTTTCCAAGTATACTGTTACATTTTCTGCAAATAATAATAGTTTTACTTCCTCTTTTCCAATTGGTAGACCTCTAGTTTATTTTTCTTGTGTAATCGCTTCAGTTAGGATCTCCAGTACAATGTTAAATAATTGTTAATTCTTCTGGCGTTTTCCATTAAATTTGATACTAAAATAATGTCAAACATGTTAAACATGTTAAGGGTATCAATTCTATTCATATTTTGAGTTTTTAATCAAGAATGGGTGTTAAATCTGTCACATACCTTTTCAGACTTTGAGGAAATATGATTTTTCTCTGTAGATTTATTAATATACTTAAGTATTTTAATAGTTTTTCTTCTTTTTAATTTTTATTTATTATTGACTTAGAGAGAGTGGGAGAGGGAGAGAGAGAGAGAGAAAAACATCGATTTGTTGTTCCACTTATTTATGAATTCACTGCTTGATTTTTTTAAAAATATATTTTTATTGATTTTAGAGAGGAAGGGAGAGGGATAGAAACATCAATGATGAGAGAGAATCATTGATAGGCTGCCTCCTGCATGCCCCCTACTGGGGATCAAGCCCGTAACCCAGGCGTGTGCCCTTGGCCAGAATCGAACCTGGGACCCTTCAGTCCGCAGGCCGATGCTCTATCCAGTGAGCCAAACCGGCTAGGGCACTGCTTGATTTTTTTATATGCCCTGACCAGGGATCAAACCAACAACCTTGGCATATCAGGTCGATGCTCTAACCACCTGAGCTACTGGCCAGGGCCTTAATAGATTTTCTAATATGCAAATAATGTGGTATCCTTCACCTTCTAATCCAAAGAGCTGAATAGATCATGGATGCAATAGGTAGCTGCATTTTCTCCCTCCCTTCCCCAGCCTCTCCAGAGTCCTCGCCATCCTGTTAAATGGCACTACCACTAGATAAGATTGTCTACCAACTGCACTCAAATGACAAAAGAAGATAAGAAAAAAGTCCAAGAAAAAAAGACAAGCTGAGAAACCATTCCTTTTTTCTTATTCTCTTACACCACTTCTCAGCCAATGCCGTAAGTTCTCCTTGCAAACCCAACCTCTTATTGTCACCACTGCTAACAGCCTGGGCCAAGCTGGCTTCCTTTCTCAGTTGCCCACGGTGACAGCGCCAGAATGGTCTCCCTGCCTCATTATGACGCGTAAGACCCCACTCAGTCTGCTTCCAACCAGCCTCCCATTCCCCGGGCCGTCCACTGTGCTCCTACCGCCATCCTGCTTTCCATCCAGCCACCTCCTTTCCTAGCATGGCTGCCTCCTCCTCATTCAGCCCTGAACTCAAATGCCCCTCAGAGAGGCCCTACCTGACATTCCCAGCTAACTTCTCTGATTTCAATGTCAAGGGAGCCCTGAAGGGAAGCTGTGCAGCCTCGGACAGGTGGGTCACTAGCTGTGGCAGATACAAGCTTCCTCATTCTCTTGATGCTCATATATATATTTAAAATATTTTTAAATTGACTTCAGAGAGGAAGGGAGAGAAAGAAACATAATGATGAGAGAGAAGCATGGATCGGCTGCCTCCTGCAGGCCCCACACGGGGGATGGAGCCCACAACCCGGGCCTGTGCCCTGACCAGGAATGGAACCGTGACCTCCTGGTTCACAGGTCAGTGCTCAAACACTGAGCCACACCGGCCGGGCTTGATGCTCCTATATCGAGGCCCAGCCTCCCTATTGTCTTCCTACCAGGAAAGGACCTGCAGCATGAAGCCACTTTCACATCCTCGCAGTAAGATGCTGTCTACTCCTGAGCAAGAGAATGCCACCCCCCCCCCGTCCTTCAGCAAATGCCTGCATTCTGAGTCACAGCTTTCCTCACTGAAGCAGAAACAGCAGTCCCCGCCCTATGTACTTTCTGTGACAATTAAGGGAAGATGTATTTAAAGTGCTAGTCTAGCATTCTGTGGTTTCGATGGACATAGGATAGTGGACATACAACTGTCTCACACACACACACACACACACACACGCACGCACACACACAAAAAAAACTGCCCCCCCCAATCCTTCCATTACTATCCCATGGTAGGAAGCTCAGAGCCATGAACTACTCCTTTGCCACCTCCCCCCACTAGCCTAAGGCCGGCTCGTGGTTTTAGAACATCGCTCACGTCTGCAGTTCTCCCTTCCTGCTGTTCAGCCTGGACCACAGAAGCAGCCGCCTCCCTTCCTCCCTCACTAACAGGCCCCCTTTGGTTCTGGATGGGGTGCTAGGGAAGACTTGTCTCCCAATTCCCGTCCGGGGCATGTAGGTGGGAGCCCCTGGGGTGGGTGTCCCTTCCCACATGAAACCTCACGAGAAGACTTTTGGCTCTACTGCTTTTT